TTAATGTATTTAGGGCACTTAAGGGGTCTGATATTATTACAGGTTTTTGTAGGTGTGATGCTTGTATTTCATTCAAAGCTTGTAAGATGGCAAATATTTCTCCTGTGTATACAGAGCTTAAGACGGGTAATCTGTATCTTAAAGGTGGCTTATGAGAAGTGATAACAGCAGCTCCAACTCCATTTGGGGTTTTGGAAGCATCAGTGTATATTTTGTGAAAGTTAGAATATATAGAAAGTTTTGGTAAATTAGGGGTGTTGGTGTTCCTGATTTATTAAAAATTGTTAAACTTGTATCAATGATCAAAGCTTTGATCAGCCATGGTGGTGGTATATCAATATTTGATTGAAAAATGAGAGGGAGCTGTATATCTAGTTGTATGAGATATTAAGAAACTCGGTAATAAAAAGGATAGTCAACTCTTTTCCTTGATTCATAGGTTTTTGACATCTATGTGCAACTGTATTATTATAGTCTGGATGTTGTTGATTGGTCATTATAGTACTCGCATACGATAAAGTTAGGTATTGTCTTCTTTTAGCAAGTGATGACTCTTCTAGTTCTACTTGTAAGCTTTCGATGGGGGATGTTCTATAAGCTCCACAAGTTATTCGTAATGCTTGATTGGCTATGGTAAATAAATACTTCATTATATGTTTTTTAGTGGAGACGTAGGCGATGGACCCATAATCGATCTTCGATCTAATGTGTTTGTATCATTGCAGTAAAGTCTCTTGATCAGAACTCCATTCTCTGTTAGCAAGAACTTTTAATAGATTTAATCCATTCTGACATCTACCAATGAGCTCTTTAATATGTTCTTGTCAATTTAATTGCGTGTCGAAAATCATCCCCAGGAATTTGATTTAGGATGCATAATCAAGAGGGCTACCATTAAGTTCAAGAATTGGTTTCTGATCTATATCTTTTTTAAAGAAAATTACACATTTCGTTTTGTCTGCAGAGAAATGGAAACAGAAGTCACTGGACTATTTTTCTAGTATGTGTGCTTGTAATATTGATTGCACTGTTGTTAGATTTTTACTTTTTATTTACATGACCAGATCATATGCATACAGTCTGACTTTTATTGGCTTTTATATGTTTTGGTTATGTTGTTGATACCTATCAAAAATAGAGTTGGACTGATTACTGATCCTTGTGGTGTGAGGTCAGAAATAGCGCCATTTACTCTAACTTGGAAAGTTCTATTATTTAGAAAATTGTGAATAAAGGCTAGCATGTTTCCATCTATGTTCCATTCTTGCAAAGTCTTTATTATACTATTCCCTTTAATATAATCTATTAAAAAAAGAAAAATAAGGAACTAAAAGCATCAGTTATGAGTTTGTTATTAATTACAATCACTTAAGATTTGAATTTATCGTCTTTTACCCGTGTATCGTATGTGGAAATTAAACATTCTGGTTCTCAACCTTTAAGTTTGGCAACCTAACACATTTTGGTGACGGCGTCAAGTGACAGCTTAATTTAAATATCGCTTCTTTGTAGTTTTTTGAAATTTTTGAGAATAATTTGAACATTTAAGATGGTGAGGAAATGTGTGGTGTACCAAGTTATTTGTAATAAGAATGTTATGTGATAAATTTCTTAGGTAAGGTTTTGTTAGCATAGACAGATGCATATATAGGGAATAAGGCTTGCTTAATTTAACATTGTAAAGGCATGTATAAAATTGTTGCTTATACCTGTCCTAAAAGAGTTGTCATTCTGTTATGCAGATAACTCTGAAAGTAGGTGTGACGTGCAATCCAAAGGGTATATTTTGGCAAGATCCTTTTTTATATTTATGTCTGAAATAAAGTTGTTTTATTGTTTTTAATAAGTTTTTTTAATTCATAAAAAAAGGCAGTAGTGACAATACCGATGTAAAAACTAGAATGAAGATATAACTTGTATTTGTATTGTAAAACTAACAAACTTGCATTTAATGATATTCAAATTTAATTTATTACTATTTAGCTGATTTTGGAGATTAATACAATCTGAGTTCGTGTTACATTATAAAATTACCAGTGAGACCGTCGGAGATCAAATTTACCGAAATTATTAAAATAAACTGCCACTAAATCAAAATTTATAAAAATTCGTTCCCATAACAGAAGTGATGATAATTTACTAAATCTTGTTTATTGCGTTGCTATCGTTATTAACGTACCCCAAAGAATTTGATATTAAAATATCGTCAGTGTAAATGGCAAAGTGCGTAACTCCATTTAAGAAAATTTTACAGGAGAACCAAAAACTATTTTAAATTAGAACCCTTGAACTTATGTAAACGGAATTTGTTTTTATAAGAATTATTATAATTTGGATGAATAATAAAATAAGCATTTTTCAGAGGGTAAATCTGCCATTTTAAAAATAGGGGATTTACGCATTTTGCTATTTACACTGACGATATGTGCTGCAAATGTACATATCAAATAAAATAATTGTAAATGTCAAAATTTTCTCTGCACATTGTGAGACTCGATTGCAAATTTCTTTGGCATTTTTCAACGAGTTTTTTACTCGCTGTCGCTCGCAAAAAACTGTAATTCTCAAATAAAACAAAATAGTATTTTGCAATATAACATCAAAAATAACTATGTTAACATTCTGTAATAAATTTCATTGTGTTTACTTCTCAATTGTATCGATTTTCCATAAATCCATTCAGAAAACCCCGTAACATGGTTTCCTGTTCAAATACCGTCGTACTGCCTAATTAAATGCTGCGGCACGCTATTAAACTGGCCACTATAATCGTTATTTCAAATCACGTATTTATTTTTTATCTAAAAGCATACACACGATGAAAAATCCCATTAAACAAAACCTATACGCCGTGCTGTTGGACGCTAGATTTTAAATCGTTTTTATTTTTCGCTTTAGCACTTGCTATGGACGCCATGCAATAATGCAAATGGCTATTTATTGTCAAAATATCGCGAAATGTCCAAAACGGTGGAAGCCGGCGTATGCATTTCAGAATTGGACGGTGCGTCCAACAATTTGTATGGAAATGAGGATATTTGAATGAGAAGCCAAGAGGACCGTGTATTTCTGTGTTAGATAAAATAAATTTAAATTACTTACGATGTTTTTAGAGAAGTTTAATTATTATTAAAACCATTTTTTGTATGTTTTAGACTATTTTTTTATACGATTAGGAACCGCGAAGCACTCCCACGTCGACTGTTTTAGATCCTGTGTGATATCCTTTAATTTTTAGTTAAATAAATTCGTAAAGTTAGTTATTTTTTAAAAACTTAATATTACTTTTCTAGGATGAAGTAAAAACAATAAATGGCTGTATCCAAATCATGATATGACTTTATTACATACCTAAAAGTGTCTTTATTATGACAGACAGCCAGCACTGCAAATATTAGACTACCAACAAACTCTTCATGCCCTCACAGAAAGAAATAATTCACTAATATTAATAAACTAGGTTCTTTTGGCAAATTAAGGTATTTTTTTATTAATATAAGATAGTTTATTTTAAATTAAAATAATAGTAATTTTTGAATGAAAGAATTTAAAAAAATATTACATTATTATAGAATAATATTTTTTTTAAAATTCTTTAAACATGCTCTTTATTAATTAATAAACTTGCCTTTAATAATACATAATATTTTAAATAGATTCATTAACATCTCTGTAAAATAAATTTCTGTTTTATTTATGTAAAATTTTATCAAAATATCCTTACCTAATTCTATTAAAGATAGAGAAAATTTTATCAATAGTTATGTTTTAAACATTTTGTTATACTATTAAATACATAAATTAAATCCTATTATTATTAGAGAATCTCTTTTAGTTTTCAGTTGTAAAAAATGTTCTTTTTATGTTAACGAATTTTAAATAAAAGTTATTTGTTTATCTCACATACGAATTACCTACCTATGTCTCTATTTATTTATGGCGCTTTTAGATTGCAGTTTCTGAAAACGTCTTTATTTTCTTATGCACCAACTGTACTCTCTTACCGGCTTTCTGCATTTTCGCGCATTTTCGGTTCAGTGTGTTACTAGTTCTGGCCTAGTTAAAACGGTGTGACTTTGTAGTATCTTTATGGACGATTGGGAAGATTTTGTAAAGTTTATAAAGTAAGTACAAATACATTTTTAAATTAGTGGTATTAACAATTATATGTATAGATAATTATCATTTTATGTTTAATCCTGTTCTTTGCGTCGCTGCGTGTTGCGCATGCGCCAGCAAACTTGCATCATTAATATTATTTTAGAATTTTGAGAGCGGGGAAAGTCTCTATTTTACGAAAACATTACGTCAAAATATTCCAAAATTGTAGGATATTTTTATTAATTTCCAAACATTTTCCTTGCCTTCGAAATGATACTTCGTTATTCGAGTGAACATAGTGCCGGAGCATGTGAAATCCGCCACGACGTAAACTGCAGGTTTATCTTATGGGTGTATAGATTTTTATTATTTTTAAATATTACACGATTATCAGATACCTATAGCAGGGGCACAAGTTGGAAAGGCTTTTGAGAAAGGAGTAAACATCAAATCACGTCGAACGACTTCGAGAATTTCGCGGCATTGTTTATGTCAGTTGTATTTCATAGAATAAGTAATTTTAAATTGTTACCGGCGCGATCGGACAATCGCATGTATTTATGGATTTAAAATAATTATTAAACATGTATTATAATATCCCAAATTATAATTCTACAAAATTTCACCAGCTACTCACATTTTATTAAACTATTTACCTGAAACTATTTTTAACATATATAAAATAATTTTGTACGCCAATGTATCGCACCCACTTCGGTCAGCACCGCCGCAAAACTGTCAATTTCTGTGTATGGAGTGGAAGAACTGCGAAAAGTATCTCCAACTTCTGTCCCTGCTATACGGCCCTAACGTAATATTTAACGTTCTGTAGTAAACAATATGTAGGTATATAATAATATTAATATTTATATACCAACCTTTTTATAGGCACGTACAAAATGAAATGTTTCATATGTAAGAAGATTTTTTTCCATTTTAATGTACTAATAAAGCATCAAAAGTTGTGGCATGGCTTAACTAACGAAAGTACATTCGAATGTTGCGACTTATTATGTAGTCAGAAATTTAAAAATTTGAAAAGTTTCAAAAGGCATTTTCTTAATAAACATGAACAGAATAGTTTATTGAATAGCTCAACAAACATCCAAGAAGCTGCAGATACAGTTTCTGCAACAATTAATAAACACGAGTTTGCTAGTACCTCCACGAATAAAAGTACAAAATGCAAACCTCTTGAGATTTTCAATTTATCTTCGACTGAATTTTTTCCGAATTCCCCTTGCATAAACACTGATAAAACAAAAATTGACTCTCAAAAGACAATTGTCGAATTTCAAAAATGTTGCATACAGTTTTCATTAGATTTACATAACAAGAACAATTTTTCTAGAAAAGATGTACAGAAAATTTTAAGTAATATAGATAATAATATTATAGAACCTCTAATTAATAATTTGAAACAAATTTTAGAAAGTAGAATTGAAAATCAGGAATTAAAACTAGAATTGTTTCCTATTTTTAAACAGTTTGCTGAACTTTTTAAATTTTGTTCTACAGAATATCGCTTAGAACAGTGGCTTATTAATAAAGATTATTTGAGTAATCTCAAACACTTTCAAATTCACAAAGATATCGTGGAAACTTATGTAGACGGCGAGGTTAGTTTTCAAGAAATTGAAATTGCGGGCACGCTATTTTCTCTGAAATTCCAATTTAGAAAAATTATGCAAAAAAATAATAATCTTGAAAAAAATTTAATGGATTTAGGCCAAAATGTTATTAATAATCGACTCACTAAATTTGTTGAAGGTGAATTGTGGCAACAAAAAATACAAATGTTTAATAAAAATCAGGTAATTCCTTTTTTTATATATTTAGATGACATGGAAATTAATAATCCTCTAGGCGCCAATGCTTCTTTGTATTCTGTAACAGCTATATATTTCTCGTTTCCTAATTTCGAAAACTGTTCCAAACTTCAAAATATTTTTCTAGCAGGATTTGTGAAAGCCAAAGACATGAAAACTTTTGGAAACAGTGCAACTTTTAAAACTCTTATTCAGGAAATTAGCGATTTAGAAAAAAATGGTATAGAATTTCAGATCGAAGGATGCAAACGGATTGTAAAATTTTCCCTTGCTCTAATTTTAGGGGATAATTTAGGGCAAAATTATGTTTTAGACTTTTCTAAATCATTTAATTCCAATTTTTATTGCCGCTTTTGTAAAGAAGCAAAATCAAGTTGTCAATCTCTAACGAGCGAAAATATAGCAAGTTTGAGAACGAAAGAAAATTATAAGCAGGATACTGAAAAAAATGACGAAAAAACAACTGGAATTGTTCAGTATTCACCCTTTAATGATATACCTTCATTCCATGTTACAGATAACTTTGCTGTTGATATCATGCATGATATATTTGAAGGTGTTTGTCACTATGATATTTGCCAGATAATTATTTATTATATAACAGATCTAAAATTATTTACTTTGGATACTCTCAATATAAGAAAAAACACGTGTAATTATGGGCCTATTGAAATAGGAAATATGTCTCCTCCAATTACAATGGAGCATCTTACAAAGAGACGCCTAAAAATGAGTGCTAGGCAAATGATGACATTTGTTCACTTTTTCTCATTTATAATTGGAGATTTAATACCTAAAGATGATGAAGTTTGGAATTTTTTTTTGTGTCTGTTAAAAATTATTGATATTCTCCTATCTAAGGAAATATCAAAGTCCGAAATTTCACTGCTTGCAGTACTTATTGAGGAACATAATCAAAATTATATACGTCTGTTTAATGATACTCTTAAACCAAAATTTCACTTTCTTTTACACTATCCCACTGTAATTAAAAAAAGTGGCCCTCCACGAAATTACTGGTGTTTTAGATTTGAAGCGAAACACAGAGAATTCAAGCTATATGCTCACGCAATTACGTCTAGGAAAAATATTTGTCACAGTTTAACTAAAAAATATCAATTTAAATTTGCTCATTTTCTTCTCAACAATAATTCTGAATCACCACTGGAAGTTGAAAAAAAACACAAAATTGAGAGTAAGTATATTTCAAACGTAAACTCAATTTCAATAACAGATATTGGTGACTTTGAATGCTATCGAATAATAAGCTACAAGGGTACTATTTATAAGCAAGGTTATTATTTGACTACATTTGAAGACGATACATTTCAGCTATATGAAATTTTAGAATTTTTTATCGGAAAGTCGTCAAATGAAACTATTTATTTGGTTTGTAAACAGGTTACAGTAATTGGATATATGTCTCATTATGATGCTTATGAAGTAAATAAAGAAAATTGTGACTTTTTTGACATACAATTTAAAAAAATTGACTGTTTTTCTAGTTACCCTATTAATATTTGTCGAAATCCTAACGGTACTACATTAGTTAGACCAAAAGAGTACTTACATCTATTCTAATAATTGCATTTTTAATATAACTATATACTCGTAAATTAAGTTCAATTTATAAATGAAATGCACTCATTTAATGTTTATATTAATTATTGTAGAATATTTTTTAAATTTGATTGTTTATTCTGGAAAATTGTAAATTTGGCTGAATATATAAGAACTTTCATAGAAATACCAGGATAAAAAATGTTTAAACTTCAACCGTTTTGGGTGGACAGTAATTTTAAAAAATCTGATGTGTCCAACACATGACTTTCCTATCTAGTTTTTATACTGAAAAATTTTAATTTAGCACTTTTCCATTACGGTCCATTTTAGAAAAATCATGTATAAACAAAAATTATAGAGATCGATATCGCAAACAACTTTTAGTTCAACAATTTTCATAAAAATCAGAATTTTGCACATTTTGTCAAATTTCTCGGATACGGACCATTTCAGGAAATTTTAACATAAAACAAAAATTATAGATAATAATATTAGAAGTAACTTTTATTTGAACAATTTTCTTCTCTAAACATAAATAACAGATATATTCCATAAAATATAAAAACGGCCTCCCATAAAGTACCCCCCTAGATGTTCCGACTTTGTCCAAAATCTAATCATTTCACTTCAGGCCGAAATAAACCTTAAGTTTAAAATTTAATGTTTTTTTCTTTATCCGTTTTTGAGTTTTCTTCAAAATTCTAAATTTAAACATTTTCTCAAATATCTCGAATACGGTCCATTTTAGAGAAATTATGTATAAAATAAAAATTTAGAGAATTATATTACAAACAACTTTTATTTAAACAATTTTTATAAAAAAATATTTTTTTTACATTTTGTCAAATTTCTCGAATACGGACCATTTTAGGAAAATTTTGTGAAGTACAAAAATTATAGATAATAATATTAGAAGTAACTTTTATTTGAACAATTTTTTTCTCCAAACATAAATAACGGATATATTCTATAAAATATAAAAACGCCCTCCCATAAAGTACCCCCCTAGATGTTCCGACTTTTTCCAAAATCTAATCATGTCACGTCAGGCCGAAATAAACCTTAAGTTTAAAATTTAATGTTATTTTCTTTATCCGTTTTTGAGTTTTCTTCAAAATTCTAAATTTACACATTTTCTCAAATATCTCGTATACGGTCTATTTTAGAGAAATTATGTATAAAATAAAAATTATAGAGAATTATATTACAAACAACTTTTATTTGAACAATTTTTATAAAAAAATATTTTTTTTACATTTTGTCAAATTTCTCGAATACGGACCATTTTAGGAAAATTTTGTATAGACCAAAAATTATAGATAATTATATAAGAAGTAACTTTTATCTAAAGAATTTTCTTCTCCAAACGTAAATAACAGATATATTCCATAAAATATAAAAATGATCACCCATAAAGTACCCCCCCCCAGATGTTCCGACTCTGCCCAAAATCTAATCAGCTCATTGGACGCTGGAATAAAGCTTAAGTTTAAAATTTGGTGTTTTTCTGTGTATCGGTTCATGAGTTATGCGTTATACAGACACACACACACACACACACAGACACACACACACAGACACACACACACACACACACACACAGACACACACACACAGACATCATCGCGAAAATAGTCAAAACGGATTCAGGGGACCTCAAAACGTAAAAATCCGTCGAAACCTCGAGATCGAAAAAATCATGATTCCTATACTTTCCTTATATCTGTATACAGATAGGAAAGTAAAAATAAATGTTAATTTATTTGAATCTACCATAGTTATGATTACATATTTCATTTTCTACGAACCACTTAAATAAATTTTCTGGAATATAGTTTAAATGTTTAAAATTTTCTTACATTTATTTATTGTGCCTAGATATGAAGTTTGAGATTTTTTGAAATTGCCTTATGATATTATTTGACAATTGTCTTTTTTTCCTTCTCTCACCTTCAACTTCCTAACTTCTAACTAATTTTGATGAAAACGGAACTACTTATTACCTACTTTAGAAATATGGATTCAGATTTTTATAATGAATTGGCTCAATCGATTGGTTGCAATACGCCTACAGAAAACAAAAATGATCACCTGGAGACATACTCTGAATTAGAGTCTACCTCAACCTCAATAGGGTCTTCACAGTTAGTAGACATTTCTGGAGTTAGTATCCCAAATAAATGGACACCTGTCTATGAACTGCTAAAATCTTGGGGACTAGAAATATTATTCAACACATTTATGAGTAAGTACATAATATATATTTTTTAATTATTTTCAGAAATAGATTACATATAGAATATATACAATGTAACGCATTTAAGATGAAGACGTCCCAATATTTTCGTTATAATAAGAAATCAAAGATCGGATTTTTGAACAGTCATACAGATTTTTTAGAAGAGTCAATACTCGATATTTTCCTTCGCCTTGGAAATATGAAAAAAGTTATAAACAATAGTTATTTTTCACAGAATTTTTTACAAAATAACATTGCTTTTACTAAAATTGTAACTTACATGACACTAGATATTAAATTGAACATGTGTCAACTTTAAGTTTCCATGGCACTCTATTACATCGAAAAATTAACTTTTAATTGTGTAAAAAATACTAAAAAAAATTGAAAGTGAATTTTGGCATAAAACTTGTTATTGAGGATCACAATTAAATTACCAAACAAGTTGTTTCATAATAATTTGTTCAAAGCTGTGCATTTTTAAATAGTATGTATAATATACCCATTAGTGCGTGCAAGTCATTTTCTAAATCTCTATTACTTTTAATTTTTTAATTAATATAAAACTATTACTTTTGGGGCTTATATTATAACAAATAGTAAAATAATATACTGGGTGTTTAATTTAAAAAAAAAGTTTTATATGTTTAAAAATTAGCAATTTGGTGCTCCTTTATAAAATCGCCTAAACATAAAATTAAACTTTTGATTCTTTCAGACGTTTGAGTTAATCCATATCTTTGTTGTATTTATTAAATATTTTAACTTAATTGATAAAGTTTGTTTAATGTTTTTTCTCAGTATTTTTTCACATTTTTGCCATAAATTGATGACATAGCATAATTAAAAAAATGTATCACAATTGAACATCAACTTAGTATTGGAACGTATTATTTTACGCTGAAATCAATAATGATACGATATACAGGGTGAGCCATTTAAAAACATCAAAATTTAAAATATCCCAAAGTAACGGGACACCCTGTATATTTCCAGTATTTTAGAAATATGCACAAAAAGAAAACCACACACACTTTTATTTAAAACATGTTCTTATATATTCTATGATAAGAGAGATATTGGACTTCTTCGCACACTGTATATTAAAGAAAAAAGCTATGTTAAATTATATATTCTTAGAGCATATTTTTATATTTAATTGCGATATATAGGTAAAACTAAATATATTCTAAGTAATTATGTACAATATTTTTTAGAAGAAGAACTAGATTTGGACAATTTAAAATATGTAACTCCATTTATGGCCCAGAAACTGGTATGCAATTACCCACTAGGAATTCAAGCTAGATTTGAATATCATTTTAAAGCATGGCATAAGATTGAGGTTAGTGAATTTATTTTTGCGTCTATCGTTTCTATCAGTCGTAGCCCAAGGAAGGAAATATAATTGATAAGACAAATTTTTGTAGGGTTGTACTAGTACTTTAGAAGAACATAGAGTATCTTCACCTGTAGCTTCATCAAACACGTCGGAATGTTCCAATTTGTCTGATCGATGTGATAATGAATCAAAAAGCTACACAATAATGGATATTCTAAAGTGTCATGAAGGAGACATGATTCGTAAATATTATGATACTCATGGCCAACTTAATTGCAGAAATAGACAAATTTTAACTGACATTATTGTACAATATTTCATAAGAAATAACAAAAAAATGTCGGTTAGTATTGCTAATATGATATCCAATGAAATAGTAGATTTATTTAAAAAAGAAATTAAGGAATATTATTTTGTTGCACAATTCAAACGTGCTCCTAAGGGTCGACTATATTCCAAATACCAAAATGAGCTTCATAAATTAGTAAAATGTGGATTGGTTGAAAAAAAGCAAAATGGAAAGAAAGAAGCGGCTACTATGTTATTTGGTAATGTATTATATTATATTAGTTTTTCTACTACATATGTGCAAAAAAAGCTTATAAAAAAAATTAATTAAATAATCTGACCACAGTTGTATAGAACTTCATTACTATTTTGTAAATTTAACATTCAATATGTGTTTTATGTATTTTATTAGTCATTTAAAATTTAACATAAAGTTATTGAATAATTACTGTACTAGTTGAGAAAAGGAATTAATTTTTGTTTTTTTTTTTTTTTTAGAAACAGAAGAAGATTACACAGAGATCGTCCAAAGATTGAGGACCGAAGATTTAACTTGGGATCAAATCGAAACTCTTTGGTCCAAAACATCTCAAGGACGTTTGAATGAAATCAAGCATGCAAAGGATAATGCTGACTTAGCAAAAAACTGGAAGCAATATGCAAATCCTTCCGGTTATAGATTGGTATGTTATAAATATGGGTAATAGTATTATTCATTACAGCTGCAAACACAGTAAATAGACGATACCTTCTGTCAATGCGAAATATATTTTTAGGTGGAAATTGATTATGGTAATCTCTCAATGGAAAACAGACATAATATTTTAACTGGGTGGGACGACTTCTTTATTAAAGTACAAAAAGTACTTATAAATAAATTTAAAGAAAATTTTGATATAGAATCCATTTCATCCGAAGGTAAGATGATATACTTATTTTATTTTTTAATATCAATATTATTATAAAACACATTTTGCAGATGGAAGAATTGCATATATTTTATGGCAATTACATGGATACCTAAAACCCACAGGAAAAAAAATCATTAAGGACCACACAGGAAAAAAATGTGTCATAAAATATACAATTCGGGACTCTCAAACCTCTTTTTTTCTTTTCGGGCCCAGTATAACTGCCATATTGGCAAAAATAGAAGAAAGCCTAAAGCAGGGCCATCCCATGCAACCATGCATCATTGTTGTTGGTACCATAGAGAATCCAAAAGAAATTTTAACCTATTGGGACGGTGTCAAATATAAATTTTTCAGTATACTGAAAGCTGTTGACATATGCTTCAAATTGTTTATATTGTTTGACCTGCAATATCCATGTCAATCAGAAACCGTGTGGCAGTTCATTCAAAATTACTTTTATAAAATTAAAACACCGCATGATAAGGTTTTACCACAAATTAAAATATTAGAAAATGAATTAAACTCGAATTAAATAGGTACCTTGTGTTATGTTTTATTACATTTTGTTTTATAAATATATTTTTTTGTGCTCTTCTGAATTTCTTTATCCTAGTTCCACTAAAAATTTGATGGTATTATTAAATGATTGCTAACTTATAGGTTTCCAAAGGTACAACATTTTTGGTTGACTCTGTATGTTTTCTAAATCATTAAAACAAGATTCTTGTAAATTTATAAAGAGAGTATTTTAATTTAAAAGAACCCTGCTTATCATTAAATGAGTATTTTTAAAATATTTATTATTAAGAAAACACTCTTTTAAATATATTAAAAGTACTTATTATTTGCAAATCACAATCTCTTACATTAAAAGATAATTTTTGTCATTTCATATTATTAAAATAACTTTTTATTCCATATATATACCGTTTGTAAATTTAAAAGTACTTTCCTTAGCTTTAATAAGAATATCTTTTGTAATGTCATACTATCAAAAGAACATTATTTTACATTTATAGAGAATGTTTATAATTTCTAAAATACTTTCTTTTTATTTAGAAAACTATTTAATTATTCTCACAAAATATTCTATGATATGCTCATAAATGTTTTTAACTTTTAAATAATGTACTTTTATATCTACAACATTATTTCGCATGCTTTTATGGAATTTTCTATAAAATAAGGATAACATTATTTTAATAAAAATAAATCTGAATTAAAATTTTTTAAATAACTTTTATTTTAATAAAATAGAAAGTTCTAAAGGGGCTATAGCAACAAAATTAGTTATTAAATAAAAAGAATTTTTTTTAATAAATAGTGATTTTTTTTTTCTGTGCTGGTAGAACAAAATAAGGTCACTCTTGAATGGCTGCTGGGACATTAACATTATGACATTGACACTATAAGTTTTGAGAAACGAAAAAGCAGACCTCCTAGCTAGGAAAGGATCTAGAAAAATTTTAATTGAACCAGAACCCACATGTTAAAGGGTTCCAACGAAAGAGGTAAACAGAGAACACCATAAGCTCTGGTTGGATCTTCCTGGAGACAAGCAGTATGAATATTTCATAAAGGATCCATCAAAGATCAGAAAAATAAACTGCCAAATCTTAGTACGAACATAATAGGACTCTTTACGGGACACTGCGTCCTTAGCAAACACCTAAAACTCTAAAGGATATCTGGCGATTATCTATGTAGAAAATAAGAACAAAAGGACGAAACGCCTATTCACATACTATGCCATTACCGAAACATTAAATGGGAACTGGAATATCAATTAGAGGTACAAGACAAAACGGAGCAGGTCAACTCGGCGATGTAAAGTCGGCGACGGTCAACTCGGCGATGCCGAGTCGGCGATGGTCATCTCGGCGATGGTAAACTCGGCGACGATCAACTCGGCGAAAAGGAATACAATAATTTATTATTCAATTATTTATTATAATACAAAATAAGATACAACCTATAAAAAAAAATTGATTGGAGAATTTGATTAATAAAATAAAAATATATAAGAGATTTTAAATAAGAAACTGGAAAAAAGTTATTATTACTAAAGTAAATCAACATATACAGGAAAAAATATATTAAATATTAAAACTAAGAATCTGAAAAAGAAACTTCTTGATTAAGAAATTAAAATTTAATGGCCAGAGTTGTTTGGAATTACAAAATTAAGGTGGCAATAAAATCAATTAAGGGTCTTAACTACAATTAGGGTTTTTAATACCTAGTATTAGAAAGCAAATAATTATTAAGGGCTTAAGATTTTTCAAAGCAAAATAAAAATAAGATTACCTTATAATTGCCTGCTTAAAGGCTTAAGATTTTTCAAAACAAAATAAAAATAAGATTACCTGATAATTACCTGCTTACTTGTACCTACATCCTATAAAAGACTGGTGATATTCACTTTCCTTAATAGTCCGAATTCATCTCAGAAGTAAAGACATTGTGTGTAATTTTGTCTGTGTGAGTTTTTTATTTACTGAGACTCAAGATGGAAAATAAAGTTCTTAGCCAAAGGGGCCACGAAAAATACTACTGGGATGGCTACCTATACACGAAGGATAAAACGAACAAGGACAACACCATTCAATTCTGGCGCTGCGAAAACAAGCATGAAAGATGCAAAGGAGGAATATGGACCAATATTATGGATGGTTCTTTCAAATGTATAAGAAATGAACACACATGTAGTACGGTAGGAAATACAGCAAATGTTGTTTTGCAAAAAATGAATACCACTGTGAAGCACCTGGCCGCGACAACGATGGAGAATCCTGCCCAAATCAGAGGACGAGTTTTGGAGAATGTACCAGCTGCGGTTAAAGGAATGCTTCCAAGTTCCAGTGTTATGCGGAGAAACATTCAAAGAGTAAGAGTAACCATGTGCAAAGCATCCGCCAATCCAGAAACTCTTAGTAAAATTATCATCCCAGAAGTGTACTCGCAATATTATTACAGCCCTACTCAATTTGAGAATTTTTTGCTGGCAGATTCCGGAAGAGATCAAGTGAATCCACATTGAATTCTAATATTTGGTAGAGAATACCATGCAACATGGAGTGCAAGCATTAAAGAATTATTTGTTGACGGCACATTCTTATTGTGTCCTCCACTTTTTGCTCAAATATTTGTTGTTCTGGCAAGAAAAGATACGCATGAAGAGAAGGGTCCAGTTTTTCCTATACTATATTGCTTGCTGTCCAATAAAAGTGCAGAAACATATCTCAATGTGTTTAACATGATAAAAGTTCTTTGGCCGCAATTAAATCCGGAAAGCATCAGTGTCGACTTTGAGTTGGCAATTCACCAGGCCGTAAGACAAGTTTTCCCAGAAGCCGAAATTAGAGGATGCTTATTCCACTTGGTCAAAAATCTTCGAAAGCATTTATCTTCTTGCAATCTCCTAGGAATGTACAATACTGATCCCGAATTTGCACTACAAGCAAAAATGGTAACATCATTTGCATTTGTCCCAGAAGAGGATGTGATTGAGGCCATTGCGGAATTAGGAATAATGGAAGTAGAGTGCGAGGAAATTTTCCATTAGTAGTTTGGTCCGTTTATTTTCGAACATTGAATGGACGAGATAGGACAAATAATTTTGCAGAAGCATGTCATCGCAAGTTGCAACTGGCTTTTGGTTCTGGCATTGCTCATCCTTCGTTATGGACATTCATAGATAATTTAAAAAAGGTAGTCTTCGTACGATGCAGACTATGAACGAGCAATTGCCGGGCGCAATGGCGCATCAAAAAGGAAACGTTATGAGGAAGCCGACGAGAGGATTTTAAATAAAGTGGCCAATTATAACAGGCAAAATTTGATCGAGTATCTCAGAGGGATATCACATAATTACAACATGAATTAGTTTTTTTTTATATTATATTGTATTATAATAAATATATGTATTATAAATAATTGTAATGTGTATTATAATAAATAACAATATTCTATAATCAACCTTTTTTTATTTCAGTTTCTATTTTTTAATTCCGTTTCAGCATATAATATGTTACTTAAATTTTTTTTATTTCATAACCTAATATTTTAATATATTATATCTTATTTTTATTTTGCATTGAAAAATCTTAAGCTCTAAATTTTCCCTTAATATTTTAATTTGCTTTCTAATAATATGTATTAGAAACCCTAATTGTAGTTAAAACCCTTAATTGATTTTATTGCCACTTTTAAAATCTCTTATATATTTTTATTTTATTAATCAAGTTCTCTAATCAATTTTTTTTATAGATTGTATATTATATTGTATTATAATAAATAATTGTATTATAATAAATAATTGCATATTATATAATTGTATTCCTTTTCGCCGAGTTGATCGTCGCCGAGTTTACCATCGTCGAGTTGGCCATCGCCGACTTGGCATCGCCGAGTTGACCGTCGCCGGCTTTGCATCGCCGAGTTGTCGCGTACCGAGACAAAACCGTTATACATAGTCAACTAATTTTGAGTGTTTTTGATATCAATTTGACAAAACATCATTTTGTCGTTAATATTCTTAATAATCTTTGATTATTAATGACAAAAGTATGTCGAGACAAATTGCAAAATACACGAAAAATTAAGCAACAATAGAAAAAAAAAACGCTAATGTATTATTGTCGAGATATATTTAGAGAGATACTTTCTGTAATTCAAATAAAGATAATAAAAAAAAATTAGCTGCCACATTCTTAAAATTCAGTTCACATTACCTCCTTGCTTGCTGACAAGGCATTTCACCTTTTTATCGATTGTAGCAAAAATTTTTCATTATATACAATAATATTCTGTCACAGAAAAAAATGAGCCTTGCGAAAATACAACATATTATTATATTACCGAAACATTTATAATTTTGCCTTGTGTATGGAGTGTCGAGCTAAGGAGAAATATCTTTGTATGCAAAAAGTGTCCTTCAAAATGTATACAATTAACCTGCGCTTTTGTATCAGAAAGGAAAAATGCAATGACAATAAGATGGTATAACCAAAAAACTAATAACTACACCCTGAAAAGTGACTGAACTTATAATCGTAGAGAAAATTTGACAATTAAAATGGTGAAAATGTGTACAATCAATCGCAAAAGTTTAAAACATAAAAAAGACATGCCGCAGTCGTGATCGTTTTTCAAAGTCATGGAATGTACAAAGAGATAGAGAGAGTCATGTATTACGTTTTTGTTTTATTTGTTGTTTCAGTAAATTATGTATTACATTGCTGGACAATAATTGCATTTTACTGGACAAATACAGCGTTGGCTGTACAATATCAAATGGTGAATAAACTTATAAAATCTTGTATAATACAGCGTAATGCTGTACATATCATCCTAGTGCATATGAGTTAGAAAAAGGAAAAAAAAATGATAGGTATCAACACGATTTAATGCAAAAAATTCGCAACTCCGATTACATCCAGCAAAAAGAAACTGCAAGAAACTTGCTAGGTTTGTAGGGTTTTCAAAATACAAGTAAATAAACATAATAATAAAAAATACAATATTATAAATAAAAACTAATAAAAAAAGTAGGGGCAAAACTAATTTTTTTTCTTTGTACTGCTTGATTTATTTTTTCATTTGAATTCGACGACTTGTTTTGCCAACTTTGGCGCATCCTTGACAATGCCATTCGCAAAAGTGCTTTACTGGTTGCCTGCGTGTAATAATGCCTTTTAGTGGCGCCTCGCT